ATATGAATGAATGAACAGATGAAGAATTTTATATGATAGAAAGAATAGAAAATGAAAATCATGAATACTTAAATAACTAGAATATGCGAAATTAGAAAATAAAATTAAAGAGAGAGAAATTATAACTCATTTAAAACAAATATATTGGAATTAAAATAATGACTATAAAAAGTGATATGATAATAGTAATAACTATAATAATAGTAATAATGGTAAAAAACAATAATAATAACAGCAAAAAGAGAACAATAATAATGATATAATACTAATAACAATGATAATGATAACGATAACAATAATAATAATAATGTTAATAACAACAACAGCAACAAATAATGATAATACTAATAACAATGATAATGATAACAATGGAAATATTGGAAGAATAATAATTGATAATGATAACAACAATATAACTTTGGAAGTTATAGTAGCAACAGAACCAATAACAATAACCACTTTAATAACTCCAACAATGATAACAATGACAGTAGTACAATGCAAACCCCCTACTCCCCTCACCCCCGCCCCCCAACCCCAAGTTCAAGGTCACATGACTCACACCCCAAGAAATATGGACTCTCGAGGTTCAGGTTCAAACAGTAAATATCCTCCGAGGATTACTTCTCTTGCATCATAAACCTCCATCGATTTTGTGTAAAGGGAAAAGCACCATCGATGGCGTGGTGGAGGGTGGGGGGTTGGGTTAGGGAGGAGGGGTGGTTTAGGAGGGTGGAGGGGAGTGGGTGGGGAGGAGGGGGTGGAGGGAGGGTGTGGTGTGGGTGGTTGTAGGGAGGGTAGGGGAGTGGGTTTAAGAGGAAGGGGGTTTGGGAGGAGGGGGTTGGGAGGGGGGAGAGGAGTGGAGGGTAGGGTGTGGTGGTGGGGAGTGGGTTTGGGAGGAGGGTTGGAGGAGGGTTGAGGGAGAAGGGTGGGTGGGGGAGAGGGAGGAGGAGGGGTGAAGGGAGAGGGGTGGGTTTAGGAGGAGGGGTGGAGGGAGGGTTTGGAGGAGGGGTGGAAGGAGGAGGGAGTGGGTTTAAGAGGAGGGGGTTTGGGGGAGGGGGTGGAGGAGAAGGTGATTGGGTTTAGAGGGAGGGTGTAGAGAGGTGGGGAGTGGGTTAGGAGTAGTAGGGGTGGAGGGAGGAGGGGAGTGGTTTAGGAGTGGGTTTAGGAGGAGGGGTGGGGGGAGGAGTGGTGGGTGGTGGGGAGAGGAGTTAGGGCGGAGTAGTGTGTTGAGGGAGGGTTTGGGAGGGGTTCGTGGGGGTGTGGGTCGGGAGAGGGAGTTATGGAGGGTGGGTGAAGGGGAAGGGGGGGTGAGTAGGGACAGAGGGGAGAGGGGAAAGGTAGGCAGATGGTGTACAGTGGGGGGAGAGGGAGAGGGGGGGGAGGATGGGGAGATAAGATGAAAGGAAGGAGTTTGGAAGAGAGATGAGGGAGACGAGGAAGGGAGAGAGGGAGGGGGTCAGAAAGGATGAAGATGGAGAGGGAAAGGAAGGGTAGGCAGGGGGGGTAAAAAGGGAGAGGAGGAGAGATAAGAGAAGAGGAGAGAGGAGAGGCGAGATGAGGAAAAAGGGAAGAGGGAGAGAGAGGAGAAGCGAGATGAAGAGAGAAGAGGAGAGGAGGAAAGATGAGAGGCGGATAAAAGAAGGGGAGAGGAGGAAAGAGAGAATCGAGATGAGGAGAAAGGGAAGAGGGAGAGAGAGGAAAGGCGAGATGAAGAGAGAGGGAAGAGGAGGAGAGAGGAGAAGCGAAATGAAGAGTTAGGGGATAGGAGGAGAGAAAAGAAAGACGAAGAGAGAGAGAGAGGGGGGGAGAAGCGAGATGGAAGAGAGAGGGCTGGGGAGGGGAGTGGTAAGAGAAGTGAGGAGTGGAGGTGGAGGAGGAGGGAATGGGGGGGGTAATCCATTTGCTTGAATGAGAAACAAATTCAATGATGTGAAGATGAGAGCATGGTTAATGGTGATGATGATGATGATGGAAATGATGAATGTGGTGATGGTGATGATTGTGGTCATGATGATGATGGTGGTAGTGATGATGGTGATGATGATGATGATGATGGTAATGATAGGTGATGGTCGTGGTGATGATAATGATGATGATGATAATGTCGATGATGTGATGACAATGACAATGATGGTGATGATAATGATGATTAGCGATGGTGATATGCTAATAATCATAATGATAACCACAAGAACAATACCAAGAGAAAAAACAACAACACACTCAAACAAAAAAAACAACCAAAAGACGAGCACAAACAACCCCGGAACTCACCTATTTGTTTGAGCATCACCGTGGCCGAGAGAGGCGGGAGCACGGGCGTGTTCGCCGCCCTACACGTCAGGTTCTGCGTGAGGTGGGCGTGAGTGACCGCCGGCAAGTGTAAGGTGTTGGTGACGTAGGGCGCCGAGAGGGAGGTGGGCGCCGCCGTCAAGGAGGAGGTGAGCTGACGTTCCTCCACTTCGAGGTCGAGCGAGTTGGAGCCCGACCACCAGGT